TTCCCGGCGGTGCGGATGCGGGCGGCATGGGCCCGGGTCAGGGCCAGAGCGCCTTGGGCGGCGGCGGCGGCGGCTACGGGGCGGCAGATACGATTCCTTTTCCGTCTCAAGGCGGCAACGCCACCGGCTACCAGCAGCAGCAGCACCAGCAGCAGCAACATCCGGGAGGTGCGCCGACGGGATACGACGCCTTTGCCGGCGGTGGAAGCGCGTCAGGCAACCTGGGAGCCATGTACGGCGAGCAGCCGTCGGACCCTTCGCAACAGCAACAGCAACAGCAGCAGCAGCAGCAGCAGCATCCGCAGGTGCCGACGGACCAGGGCCGGGCGTCGACGATGGGCCACCATCGAGACATGTCCGGCAGCACGCTGGCCGACGCCACAGGCTACTATCCTTCAGAGCGTCGCAACTAGCTAGCTAGCCGTCCCTCCGCCGCTTCTCCCCCTCTCCCCCTTCCCTCGCTCTCCCCGCACGATATACCTCTGCTCTACTCGCTCGTATCCCTGCTACCCCCTCGCACAGCACTCAGATTGCCGATGCCCACCCTCTGTTCCCTCTTTCGCTTTCGCCTGCTCGCCGTCGGGCTCAAGCCATGTATTCCATTCCATTCCATTCCGTTTTCCCCCTCGAGGGCGAGGCCAGTCTTCTCGATGCCTGCTCTGTTCCCGCTTCCCTGTCGCTCGCTTGCACCGTGCTCCGGCAGCAATGTATCAGTGCGTCTCGTTGTTCCCGCCGTCCTTCGCCTTGTCGCTCCAGCGCCTGGCTCGGCCTCGCAGTCGATCCAAAGGGCTGGCGATGCCCCGCCGCAGACGCGGGTGAGACGGCCAGAGTCGACGAGGACCACGATTCGAAAGAGGCATCTTGTACGATATATGTGCAAAGTTTGACGCCGTCGACATCACCATCCCGGCTAGCTCAGCTGGTAGAGCGTCAGACTCTTATACGGAGCCTCTGCGGATGATCGCAGAATCAAAAATCTGAATGTCGTGGGTTCGAGCCCCACGTTGGGAGATCTTTTTTTTCTCTTTTTTTATTTTTTATTTTTTATTTTTTATTTTTTTTTGTATTTCCCTGACTCGCAGCCTTGGTGCAGCCTTCTGATCTTGCGAGGTTTGACAACAGCTCACGGTGGGGCTGACGGGCCTGCCCACTGCATGTCGCCTGGTGGGCTTGTCAGGTCGATGAGGACAATGGGACGGACTGCATCTTCACCGTACAGTGGCTACGTTCACCCAGTTGCACGCTGACTTTCGCCCCCACGCTGAGTGACTGTATCTATCAGTCCATCAAGTCACAATGCGATTCAGATTCTGGGCCAGTGGGCATACACGACCACGACCCTGGGGTTCTGCTACGAGCTACTGCTGCACGACGCCGACGCGGTCGAGGTCGGGCGCAAAGCCCTGCTTGTCTGCCGTGATGGTGATCTTGTTGTTGGCGGCGGCGCCCCGCTTGAAGCCGGCGAGCTGGACGCGGTAGGATTTGGCAACGCTGGCGTCCCAGTCGTAGCCCGAGAGCGGGAAGCTGACCTGGACGGACGGGCCGTCGTTGACCGAGATGAGCGCCGTCCTGGCATTCGGGCCCTGGCCTCCGAGGTAGCCGACCTCGGCGTTGATGTAGTCAAAGAGGAGCGTCGACGTCTCGGCCGGGGCGGACAGGTTGGACAGCGTCACGGACGCTCCGGCGCCGAGGTTGCCCACCTTGCGCGCACCCGAGCAGCCCGAGCAGTTCGCCGCCTTGGCCCCGCCCGAGAGGGTGCCCGATTCCGCCTCGACCCACTTGACATTGTCGCCGGCGTCGGCGGCCGCGCCCGACTTGGACGGGGCGCGCACGATGTTGCTCAGCCGCAGCGGCAGCGAGCCCAGCGCGCCCGTCGTTGTGCCCGCCACGTACCGGCCCGTGACGCCCCTCTTGACCTGGCCCGTCCAGAGGTCCTTTACGTCGGCCTTTGCAATGCCGAGCTGCGCCAGGTCGAAGCCGAGGTCGGTCCGCGCCTGGTTCTTCCAGTTGACGACCAGGACGGCCTCGTCGCCGTTGGCCAGGGGCCCGCGGTAGAGGTCGCGGTCGTTTGTCCAGCGCTCGACGAGCTCGATGGGCTTGCCGAGCGCGTCCTGGTTGATGGCGATCAGGTCGCGGTTCTGGAGCAGCGCGACGGCGTCGTCCCCCAGCCGCTGCGGGTTGAGGCCGATCATGAGGGCCGACTTGATCATGGCCCAGTAGGCAAAGTGGGTGCGCTGCTGGTCGAGGGTGAGCTTCTTGGAGCCCACCTCGAGCATGTCGGCGTCGGCAAAGTGGCCGGGCCCCGTCTTGCCCGACTTGGCGATGTGGATCGACTGGTTGAGGATGCGCACAACGGCCGCCCAGTCGTCGTTGATGTCGTCTGACAGGCGGAACGACGTCGAGATGCCCTTGGTCCAGTCGACCGGGCCCTCGAGATCGCCGTCGGGCGGCGAAATGTAGGGCGTGCCCCACTGGCAAACGAGCATGCGCCCGATCTTGTTGTTCTGCAGCGCCCGCCACATGGCCCCATACCGGTCGACGTAGTCCTTGCGCGGATCCTTGGGCGCGTTCTGGTTCTCGTTGGGGCCGTCGGCGTAGCAGTAGTCGTCTGTCGGTGCAGGTAGGTAGGGTCAGGGGAGCAGGCGAGCGGGAACACGGCAGTCAGGTGGGCTGATCAAGGTGAGTCAGTCGCCTGCACATCATCCAGGGGGGATCAAGGGGGCGCCGGGGTGGCGGAGCGCCGTCGCCGCGCGACTCACACTTGACGTACTCGACGTTCCAGCTGGCAAAGAGCTTGGCGTCGGCTTCCTCATGCCCGTAGCTGCCGAGGCGCGGGCTGGGCACGATGGTATCGCAGGCGCGCACGCCGGCGTCCGAGTAGAGGCTGAAGGTGAGTCCCTTTGAGCGCGCCTTGTCCGAGATGGGCTTGAGGCCCTGGGGAAAGTTGTTGGTGTCGTAGTCGATGGCGCCGTAGGGGTTGTTGGTGCGCGTGGTGCCCTGCCAGCCGCAGTCGATCTGGAAGAAGGTGTATCCCGCGTCGCGGAAGCCGCGCGAGACGAGGGCGTCGATGGTCGACGAGACGTAGGTCGCGTTGGGCGAGCAGGCCACGTCGTTGTACGTGTTGTAGCCCATGATGGGCGTCGAGATGCCCATGCCGCCCGTCGGCGGCGCGGCCCTCGTCGCGAGGGCGGAGAGGGAAAAGCCCGGCATCGTATTCGAGGCGGTCAGAGGCGGGGCAAAGAGGCGGGGCAAGGAGGCGATAAGAAGCCGTGAGGCGGTGTAGTAGGGAAAGGGAAGGACTACGAGAGGTGATGCTCGCAGACGGGCTCCGGGGCTGCGATGGAGCACGCCTTTATGTACATACATAGTTGGTCAAAATCAGCGGTTGCGGGTCCCCTCCGCTCAGCCCACCGCCCATGGTCGCAGCAGGAACGCACCAGCCTGCTGCCCATCCTCCTCCGGTCGCAGTCTCTGGGTACCAGAGATGAGGTCCCATCGAGGCGCGCGCAGTCGGCCTGGTGCTTTCCGACAAACTTCCGGCGCTGACGAGGACCCCACACGACCCCGCATCGCCGCGAGCTCGCAACGAGCCGCGCTCGTTGTCCATCGTCGATGTGCGAGCCTATTCGTGCGTCGTTGACAAGCTGGCGAGGTACCCAGCGGCGAGGGGGTGGCTCAGGAACACCTGCCTTTGTTCCTCTCGATCCGGGGAAAGATTGCCGGAGCTCGGACCCACCCAAGGCACATCGTGACCGGCCCAAGGCCTCCGGCTGACGACGTTGTCGAAGGAGCACGAGAACCGTAGGTGTGGACGTGCGCAGCCGTGTCGGGGACTGCAAGGGAAAGCGGAAGGAGGTGCTGCCATCGGTGATCCTCAGAACGAGGCTCGCGGCAATCTCTGTCTGCCGCAGAGTGAGGGTACGGCCGCCAAGGCAAGCAACGAGCGGCGAGGCCAAGGTACTGTAGCATAGCGGGTGTCGGCAGGCGCCTCTTTGTCGTGGCTTTCTTGCTTGCTGGCTCGGCGGTCGAGTTGCGTTGCTGCCGACCTCGTCAAAGCAGCTACCGTAGCACGAGGCAGGACAGCCGAGCAGCCCGTGCATCGGTACAGTACGACGGCGGAGCTTTGCCGCCGCAACCGACCGACGAGGAGCCCCACAGGCCCCCGCTGCAGCATGGCATCAATCGCCGTTGTTGGACAGTCGGAGATCCCTTCGCCGGCGCAGGTGACAACCGCGTTAGGGTTATAACGTAAATATAAATGTCTCCTTCGGCATGTTTGACATCATCAGGCAACGTAGTGCAGCAGCACCGCTGCCTGGCCTGCGCTCTAATGGGGTAATGGCAACCCTCCACTTTCACACAGTGGCGCCCCAAGTTCGATTCTTGGTTGGAGCACTTCTTTTTTTCTCGTGGTCGAGCGGACGTCTGATTGGTTCGGTTCGGATTCGAATCCAGGCAGTCCCACCTTTTTTTTTTTTTTTTTTTTTTTTTTTTGGTTAAGGGACAGCGCACGATCCACCCTCGCCTCCACCTCGCTCGCCTTGCCTCGCCTTGCGACCACCACCGCCACCACCACCGCCGCGCCCAGGATGTACCACCTCCTCACCGGGCTGTACGGTACGTGCCGTCGCAGCCTCTCGCACACGCTCACTGACGCTTCGCTGAACAGGCTGCACCCTCACAAACGACCACCACCGACCAACAGCCGAGTGGACGAAAAAGGAGCGCTTCAATATCCTCGTCGTCGGCCTAGCGGGCGTGGGAAAGTCGTGCCTCGTCGAAAAGGTGCGTCGCCGCTGCTCCTGCCGCCTCGGCAGGCCGCTGCTGGATCTGCCCCCGCTGCCGCTGCGGAGCGACTCGACGTCGCTCAACTGATATGATCCTCGACCTCGACCTCGACTTCGACTTCGATCACGGCACCGACGGCAGATCAAGTCCATCTACCTGCGCACGCCCGCGTTGCCGCCCTCGCGCATCGCACCCACCGTCGGACAGAATGGTGAGCACCGCGCCGCTTCATCCCACCTCGTCGTCGTTGTCGCTCTGTCAGCTCGGAACTGACCGGTCCCCCAGAATCTTCTCTGCCCTATGCGCCGCATCGCCGACAGTCTTCGACCTGACGCTCCCCTCGTCGCATCTCCACTTCTGGGACCTGGGCGGCTCGGCCTCGGTGCGCTCGCTCTGGCAAAAGTACTACGAGGAGTCGCACGCCCTCGTCTGGGTCGTCGATGCGCGCGACTGGATCGGGTGCGACGACGACGACGACGAGGGTGGGACCAAGGATAAGGGCAAGGCGGTGCAGACACCGGAAGACGTCGAGAGGCAAACCAGGAGGGAAGAGAGCTGGACTACGCTCGGTAAGTTCGGTACTGCTTCGATGGCCCATACCGTACCGCACCGCGCCTCGTCTCGCTGCTAGGGGGGGCAGGACGTCGCGAGAGAGGGACGGGATCCTGACGCCGTCCATACGACCCCGGCGCGGGCCCCGAGCAGCGTCGCTGCTCGACCATCCCTCCCTCGAAGGACTGCCCATCCTCATCCTGGCCAACAAGGTGGACGCCTGTTCCGCCACTTCGGACTCGACTGCGTCCCAGAACGAGGCCGTTGCCGTCGCTCGGCGCATCAAGCGATGGATCGGACGCAGAATGGCCGACGTCGCTGCGGCCGATACCACCACTGCTGCCGCAGAGTACCAGAACGGCCAAGATCACGTCGGGATACCGCACGCACAGGCACCGGCGGCGGGGTACGAGTGGGACGTCGTCGCCACCAGCGCGCTCGATGGGTGAGTAGCAATGTCAGAGAGAGGGAGGGAGCGGTTCGGCAGCACAGCACGGGCCGCGGCGAGGCTGACTGGCATGCATTCGGCACCCGCACACCGCGCGATGCAGCACGGGCGTCAGCGACGCCGTCGACTGGCTATACCTTCGCGTCCAGAACGTCAAGCGGTGACCGACAGCGGCTCGTGCAGCCGCCGCTGGGTCGACGTGAGGGCGAACGGCTCAGCACGTAGGGAGACTTATGCATTCGAGGCACCGGTCGACGGCCCCGTACGACATGCAAAGTAGGCCCTCCGGCCCTCGTCCACTGCAACCCGCGACCATCTGCCCTCGCACCCCATCGGCCCTCTCACCGCCGTGCCTTCTTGCCGCCCTTGTCCTTGTCGCCGGCGCCCTTGCGCTTGGCCGCCTCCCTCTTCTCCTTTTCCCGGTCGCGCGCATCGGCCTTGATCCGATCCAGGACATACTCAATCGTCCGCTTCTGGTCCAGCAGCACCCGCTTCTCGCCCAGCCGCACCACGAGCGCCTTTCTCTCATTCTCGCCCAGCTCCCTCGCCGCCGCGCCGCCGGTGCCGGGGTAGAGGAGCAACTCGTCGGCTTTCACGTCTGCCCCGCCCGGCAGCGTCGCCAGACGCAGGGCGATGGCGTCAATCAGGATCTGGGACGTCTCGACCCTCACCTCCTTCTTGGGCCCGGACGCGGACGCGGACGCGGCGTGCACCTCGACCGACTCGATGCGCGCGCTCGGGCCTTTGCCCTTGGCCTTGGCCTTGTCGAACGCCTCGCGCGGCATGGCCAGGATGCGCGCCAGCGCGACGAGCTCCTCGTCAATGCCCCCGCCCGTCGCGGCGGCCTTGAGCTGCTTGGCCGTCGGCCTCTGCGGATCCGGTCGGTGCGGCGGCGCGTCGGACGGCGGAAAGAGGTAGCCGAGGATGTAGACCTCCTCGATTCCCAGCGACGAGC